TAGGGATTCCTGTAGACGATCCCAGGTGACACCCAATCGCCCTGAGATGCCTTCAGGACAGCCCACGGAGCCTCCAAGACGCCACCAGAGGCTCCCGAAGAAGAGACCCCGTAAGAGGGCCCCAAGAAGCAAACATTGAACCATTCCTCATGGAAGACTAATAACATTATTTGGCAAACTGGTCCGGCGGTCCTGTCCAGGAAAGGCCCCAGGACGGTTCCACGAAGGCCCAAGAGGCCTCCAGGAAGGCCCCGCGACGGTTCCAAGTGGCCCCAGGCTGGCCCAAGAGACGCCCAAAACAGCCCAACAGGACCCCGACACGGGCTCAAAACTGCCCCAAATGGCCCAATGACGGCCCAACGCTGTCCCAAGATGGCCCCAAGACGGCCCGCAAGGCGCCGCAGACGCCCTTGGAAGGCCTTCAGAGGCTCCGTCAGCGCTGCAAGATGGCTCCCAAAGGACTCACCACGAGGGCAACTACAAACCAGAATTGGCCTATTCCTGTTAAAACAAAAAAAACAGATTGGCAACTGGTTCAGAGGCCCTGACGAGCGACCCAAGACGGACAAAGAGGCCTCCAGGAGGGCCCCTCGACAGGTCCGCAGTTTCATCTGACCCCTGAGGCCTAGTAAGTGGATCCAAGGACCCCTTCGGGATGACCAGGCGTGTTAATAACTACCCTTGCCCCTCCCCCACTCAAAAACGCTTCCCTCCCAGGATCCCGAACTGCACGTTCGAGAGGGGGGTGCTGTCCCAGACGATCTTGCTCCACGACGGTTGACCAGCGCTCCAAGCGAATCCAAATTTGTACCAAGACGGTCCAAGGCATCCAGGGCGGCCAAAAACAACCCCACATTTTGATAAAACGGGTCGGCGGAGGCGGCGAATGACTGTAGATCTCTCTCGTGCTCCATCCTTCTCCCTCTCCCTTGTCTCTTCCCTCCTCCCTTCCATCCTCTCTTTTTAGGGGCTGCGCCAACTACCCACGGCAGGTGGGGAAGATATACCCGCAAGAGAGGTACGATCGAAGACGAATAAGGCGGGTATCGAGGGTGTGGGACATACGTGTTGCACGGCACGCGAGCAGATGAGCGCGTCCGCTCCTAGCGGCGCCGCCCCCCCCTCCCCGACGCACTGCAGATGCACCCCACAACACCCTTACATGCATTCAAGCAGCTTCTGGCCCACCACCCAGGACTAGATTCGCCGCCACTGCGCTTGCCATAAGGGTGCCTGGCGTGCTAGACTTCTAATGTTTTGGGGTTCTTTTAAAACTCCCCCTGGGGCCTCGGCTCATTGCGCCAGCCACCCGGAAGGCCGCAAGGCCGCGCAAGCCGCCGCAAAACCCACCTCCATGGGCCCAATCACCTCCAAGACGTCCAAAGATGGCGCCGCGAGAGCCCAAGATGGCCCCAAGATGCACCCAAGACTGCCCAAGATGCAACCAATGCGGCCCAAGACGGCCCAAGAAGCCCCCAAGAGGCCTCCAAGACGGCCCAAGAGGCATCAAAATGGTCCTCCAGGAAGACCCGAAGAGGCAAAAACCTATGATTTCCATCAGTTCCCAACCATCCTGTTGTGTTGGGTTCTCGTTTTGAAAAGACAGCGCCCCGCGTTCACTCCTCCCTCCTCCCCTCCTCTACTCCTCTCCTCTGCAGTTCGCATGTGGGCATCACGCGAGTTTCGGCACATCCCTCACACGTTTCGTGGCCCTAGAGGGGAGCTCCACCGAAGGTCCCAGTGGGGCAATTCGCATGTGGGCGTCACGCCCGTTTCGGCACCCCCCTCACACGTTTCGTGGCCACATAGGGAGCTCCACCGAAGGTCTCAGTGGCGCAGTTCGCATGTGGGCGTCACGCCCGTTTCGGCACACCCCTCAACACGTTTCGTGGCCCTAGTGGGAACTCCACCGAAGATCCTAGTGGGAGGGTTCACATGCGCACCCCCTTCTCGCCCAATCGGCACGCCCCTCACACGTTTTGTGGCCCCATGGGGGCTTCCACCGAAGACGATCCTCACAACTGCGACACTCACAAATGCATATGCTTGGGTCGTTGGCCAGGCTCACTTCTTGACGGATTTTGCCAGGTCCTTCTTTTCGGCCCTCCGACCGCCCAAGACGGCCCAAGAGGCCCCCATTACTGCGATCGCACAGGAGGCCTCTAAGGTGGCCCCAGGATGGCCCGAGACGCTCCTAGGGCGGCCCCCTCAAGGGTCCCAAGACGGCCCTCCCAAGACTCCCCCAAGACGCCCGCGGAACATTTGTTCTATACTTGTTGGTGACCCCCACCGGGGGCGCCGGCCCAACCCGCCGGCCACCTGGAAAGCTCATCAAAATCCAGAGGCCGTTGCGCAAATCGCTTCCAAGACGGCCAAGAAGGCCCCGAGAAAGCCCAACGATGACGGCACGACATCTCCAAGACGACCCAGGACGACCTCAAGACGGCGAAGATGGCTTCCCGATGGCCCAAGACCGTCAAGGACGCCCCCAAGACGGCCTAGGAAGGTCCAAGAGGTCCTCCAGGAAGGCCAAAGAGGCCCAAACCTATGATTTCCTTTGTACTTTGTGTTGAAGGACTTTGGCATGTCCTTCTTTTCGGCCCTCCGACGGCCCAAGGCAGCGCCACTACTGCCCCAAGATCGCCCAGTTTGTTAAGACGTTTGGCCACACAGGCGAATCCTGAAATGCAGGGGGCGGCGGTGATTCGCCGCAAGCGTCTTCGGCACTGAAAGTATGATTGAAGGGACCCACAGCCCAGAGTTCCGGGCGCTCTTGGGCGTTCCTGGAGGATTCCCGCAAGACTTCTCCAGAGGCCGAGAGTGCGTGGTTCGGGACACGCACGGCCAACATATGGGGCCTGCGGTCGAGAACGACTGCTTCTAGCGTGTCGCCGCGGCGGCCCTGGCGACACGCTGTGCCTTGCGGGCGGACAGACGCCTGGGGATCCAGAGGTGGATAGCGTGTTGCGCCGCAGCCTGGTGGGCCAGAACTGCCGAGTCTTACGCTTCCCCGATGAACTTGTGGCGCTCCACGCGGATTTCTTGGATCTGCGCCGGACCCGCCTCCCTGGCGCGCGGAGCGCGCCAAGGGCGGCGCCGGAGGCGCCGCCAGAGAGGGCTCATCGCGGATCCGAGAAATCCGCGCGGAGCGCCAAAACATTATTTTTATGCGGCTTTTTTCCCTTTCGATCGTCTAAAAACGTAGGCGAGCCCGAATGTCGGCACAATCAAGTCTTACGCTTCCCCGATTCGAAAAAAGAAACAAAGGCATAAACATAATCTTTCGGCGCTCCGCGCAGATTTCTTGAATCTGCCAGACCTCCCTCCCTGGCGCGCGGAGCGCGCCACGGGCGGTGACGGAGGCGCCGCCAGGGGGGCCCAGGGCGGATCCGAGAAGTTCGTGCAGGGCGCCAAACAAATTATGCTTATGCTGTTTCTTCCGCTTCGATCGTCAAAAATCACGTAACGAACCCGAATTCAAGCGCACTCGAGTCTCATGCTTACCCGATGAGAACAAGAAGCAACGGCATAAATAACAACTTTTGGCACACCACCCAGATTTCTTGGATCTGCGGCGGACCCCCCTCCCTGGCGCGCGGAGCGCACCAGGGGCGGCGCTGGAGGCGCCGCCGGGGGGGCCCATCGCGGATCCGAGAAATCCGCGCAGGGCGCCAAAAGTTTATGCTTATGGCGTTTGTTTTTCTTCGTCTCGAGTCTTATGTTTCCCCGATTCCCAGACATGCGGCGTCTTGATATTTTCAATACGGGGTCCCTGGAAAGCCCGACCCTTTCCCGGGACTGGTTCCTGAATCGTTTCTTGACGGTCCCGGAGCCCGGCGAGGAATCCCCGAGGCCTACATTGGCCAAAAACCTCCCGCCCTGATTTTTCTTTACGACGCGATCATGTCTGGGCTACGCTGCCCCGATCCGATCCTCGACCCTCGGCTCTGGAGGACCGCCAGCGCCAGCGGCGATGCACCGGCGATGCATCGTCGACGTGGGCGATGCACCGGCGACGTCGACGTGCAGCCAATCGGGCTCCACGTCGAGCCGTACCGACGACCCCATCTGCTCGGACCCCATCTGCTCGGGACCTCCGACCCCATCTGCGCGGACCCCATCTGGGAGGCCCAGACTAGGCGAGCCCGAGCTCCAGCGCACTCGAGTCTTACGCTTCCGGGATCCGGTCCGATCGACCCTCGTTGAGCAGGGGCCGACCGTCCTGGCATTCGTACAGTCCTACCACGAAATGTTCTTAGAACCCAAAATGTTCTAAGAACCAAACAATGTTCTTAGAACGTACACCCGATGTGTTAAAACAAGACAGACTCCACCAGAAATGTTCTAGGAACATTTCGTGGGAACCACGAAAAGTTCTTAGAACATTGTTTGGTAGGGCTATAGGCGAGCCAGGACGCTTCGTCGCTGCTTGAGTCCCGGCATTCGCATAGTCCCACCACGGAATGTTCTTAGAACCCGAAATGTTCTAAGAACATAAGCCATGTTCTTAGAACAGAAGCCCGATGTGCTAAACCAAAACAATCCCAACCAGAACTGTTCTAAGAACATGTCGTGGAAACCACAAAAACACTCTTAGAACATTGTTTTAAGCAAGGGGGATGATGATGATGATGATGATGATGAGGAGGAGGAGGAGGAGGAGGAGGAGGAGGAGGAGAAGGAGAAGGGGGAGGAGGAGGAGGAGGAGGAGGAGGAGGAGGAGGAGGAGGAGGAGGAGGAGGAGGAGGAGGAGGAGAAGGGGGAGGAGGAGGAGGAGGAGGAGGAGGAGGAGGAGGAGGAGGAGGAGAGGAGGAGAAGGGGAGGAGGAGGAGGAGGAGGAGGAGGAGGAGGAGGAGGAGGAGGGAGGAGGAGAGGAGGAGGAGGAGGAGCAGGAGGAGGAGGAGGAGAGGGGGGGAAGGAGGAGGAGGAGGAGCAGGAGGAGGAGGGAAAGGAGGAGGAGGAAGACCCTTCGCCACCGCTCGACCTCGGCCCCGGAGGACCGCCGGCGCCGGCGGCGCCTCGTCGGCCCGGCGGCCCCACAGCTCGCGGCCGCTGGGCTTCAGCGCCCGCTCCTCGGGCGGCAGGGCGCGCGATCGGCGGGGGCGTCATCGGGGGGGGGGGGGGCGCTGCGCGGGGGCCCGCGGAGCCTCGCGGGTCGAGGGGGTCCCTGTTCTTCGAGTCGGGGATCGACGACATCACTGACGCGCCCCAGTTCCTCCTCCTCCTCCTATTCCTCCTCTTTCCTCCTCCTCCTCCTCTCCTCCTCCTCCTCCTCCTCTCCTCCTCCTCCTCCTCCCCTCCCCCACCTCCCCCCCTCCTCCTCCTCCTCCTCTTCCCTCCTCCTGCTCCTCCTCCCTCTGCTCCTCCCCCTTCTCCTCCTCGTTGTCGTCCTCCTCCTCCTCCTCCTCGTCCTCTTCCTCATCCTCGACTGCAGAACTGACGGATGCACCCCAAGGTTGACTTGTTCGTCGAGTCTACGAAAGATGCGCAGAATGCCTGGTAGAGCATTCTGCGCAGTCGTTCGCAGACTCGACGGAACATCACTTTTGGGGGTGAATCAATTATGTGGTGGATCTCCTACTCGAGCTCTCGAGTTGGGAGGAAGGGGTGGTAAGAGAAAGCCAAGACGAAGATAACATCGGGTGAAAATAAACCGAGAATCTCTGAGATCCGGCTGCTCTGGAGGATGTCTCGGGAACCTCGGCCTTCTCAGAGCGTTCCGGAAAGCTCTAAGAGCGTTCTGGGACTCTCTGGAACGGATTCCTCCTCGTCCTAGCCCCGTCCGAACTTCTCGCGTTGGGAGGAAGGGGCGGGGAAGATGACGGGCACGACTGTGTAATAGACAGCCAACGCACGCGATAGCACGGATGTTCTGATCATCTCGTTCCCAACCCCGTGCTCCCAACCAGACAGTGGTCTTCCTGAAACGTGCAGAATCAAGGCCCTGACGGGGCTGGGTTCCGTGGGCCCTGGGTTGGTGATGTGCACCGGGGGGCCGCCGCCCCATGCTTCGGCGGCAAATCATGGGAGACTCCCATGCCATCTTGTCGGCTCTTGCGAATCGACGCCAATCGACGCCAGTCGACGCCAATCGACGCCAAATCGACGCTAATCGACGCTCGCCGACGCGAAGTCGGCGCTATCTCATCGACTCCCAGACGCTGATCGACGTCAATCGATGCTAAAGACGGCTTTGCGAGGGTACGCCAGGCTCCCATGAATTGTTATCCAACGACTGCCGTCGCCCGAATAATCAACAACTACGGCAGACTTGGTTTGGTGGTCGCGCTGCACGTTGGGGCTTCTCGGGTCCCAACCACGGCCTCGCTCCCCTCAACCGGGGCCCTGGTCATGTCCGGCAGAAGCTGGCCCAACACGCGTCCCGGAGCCAACGCCACGGGCAGGCCAGCACTCCTCGGGGAGGGCGTTGGCCCTGCCCTCGGATGACAGCAACGTGACGACAGTGTCGTATCGTCCAGAGCGCCCGCCAGAGAGCTCTCGGCGGGGCGCGGCCGACGCCATGGGGCCGCAGACGCTGGCCCCGAACATGTCCTGGAACCAGCGCCGCGGACCACGGACAAGCCGGCACGCCTCGGGGAGGGCATCTGCCCTAGACTCGGAAGATGCAGACTCGTCGTTCTGCATGTTTGGCCTCTGGAGGCCGTTTGGGAGCCTTGGGACAGTCAAGAAACGGTCGCAGGTAGATACGACAGGTGCATCTTGCTGAAGACACCTTTGTCGATCTCTGGACTCCCCGAGGTGCCCAAGGCCTTCCGAGGGCCCACTGGAGCCACCACGAGATAAGACGCTTCCATGGGGCACCCTCTGACGAGCTGGTTTATGATCTAAGGTACCTGCTGTACAGTATGAGCTCGACCACAAGAAACCTTCGATCTACGGACCATGCAAGCATATGCAACCGAGCATTGCAATTCCGAGCGTGCATCGTCGCAATTACATTGCGTTGCATTGTTGCAAAACTTCGTAAGAGACACTAACCGCGTTCACACACAAACCTGGACCATTCGATTCTGAATGCTGAATCAAGAAAACCCAACCAGCGCATGCGAATCTGGACGCGCAGATAGGTACAAACGCGATGCAATAAGCTGATATTCAGGCAAACACATAGGAGTTAGCGAACTTACTAACTTTGCTAACTCAAGGTACCTACGCCCAACTACGCCACCCGAGATAGCCAACTGAGTAACGCTGCTAGTTGTTAGGCCCTACTCATAGCATAGCTGTAACTCGGTCATAACCTACTGTGACCTCGCGCTGACAGATACTAGCCCCCAGAGCCTTCGGGCAGGAACCGGGAACTGGGGGCCGGGGAACCGGGGACCAGGAACTCGTCGACTAAAAGAACTTACCTCTGCCTCATCCCGCCTTCCTTCCCCGCTCTCCGTCCCCCCCCCCTCCTCCTTTCCCCTCCTACCTGCCTGCCACCCTGCCTCCTGCCTCGCCGTGTTGTCTGGGGGCTCGCTGGGAGGCTGCGAGCTGCGGAGCTGTCGCCGCATTCGAGGGATGCTGGGGGGGTCCAGCGGAGCGACGCCTTACGCAAACCCAAACTCGACCTCGCCATCCCTGGGGGGCTGGGAACGGCGACGCTGCCGACAATTTCGAGGGCTACTGGGGGTCCAAGGGAGCGATACCTTACGCAAGTCTGCAATCGATCTCGCCATCCCTGGGGGGCGGCGAACAGCGAAATTGCTGCTACTTCCGAAGGCTGCTGGCGGGTCCAGCGGAATGACGTCCTCCGCAAACCGAAACTCAAACTCGCCACCCCTAGGGGGTTGCGATCTGCGAAACAGCTGCCACTTTCGAGGGCTGTTGTGGAGTCCAGCCGAGTGACGCCTTACGCAGACTTAGAATCGACGTCGCCGTGCATGGAGGGCTGCGAGCTGAGAGCGTGTCGCCACGTTCGATGGCCGCTCGGGTTCCAGCGCAGTGACGCCTTGCGCAAGCCTGGACTCGACCTCGCCATCCCTGGGCGTCTGCGAGCTGCGAACATGTTCCGAAGTCTGCTGGGGGCGCCAGCGGAGTGACACCTTACCGCAGACTCAGACTAACCCTCGCCATCTCTTGGGAGCTGCGAACTGCGACGCTATCGCCACCTTCAAAAGCTTTGGGGGTCCAGCGGAGTGACGGCTTACGAAGACTCATATTCGACCTTGCCGTCTCTGGGGGGCTGCGAACAACGCAACTGTCATCACTGTCGAAATCTGCTGCAAGGGGTCCAACGGAGTGACGTCTTCCGTATATCCAGATTACACCTCGCCATCCGAGGGTTCCGCAAACTGTGAAACTGTTGCCACGTTCGAGGGCTGTCGGGGGGTCCAGCGGAGTATCGCCTTACGCAGACGCAGATTGGACCTCGCCATCCCAGGGGGGGGGGCTGCGAACTGCGCAATTGTCGCCGCGGGCTGCTAGGGGGTCCAGCAGAATGGCATCTTACAAATGTTCAGGTTATGCCTCGCCATCCCTGTGGGATACTGCGAACTGCGAACGTGTCGCCACTTTCGAGGGCTGCTGGGGTTCTAGCGTAGCGACGTCTTACGATTGCTCAGGCTAGAGTTCGCCATCCCTTGGGGGGGGCTGCGAACTGCCAAAGTGCCGCCACCTTCACGGGCTGCTTGGGGTGCAGCGGAATGATGTCTGAAATTGCCGCAGAATCATATTAGACTCGCCGTCCCAGGGGGCTGGGGCGGCTGCGAACTGCGAAACTGTCGTCGCTTTCAAAGGCTGCTGGGTGGTCGGTTAGGGTCGCTTCAGGCGTCGGCGAAGGCACTCCTGTATTGAAACGTTATAGAATGTTAGTTGCATGTGAAAAGCATTCGACTAGCTACGAAAACATGTCCTCGGCTACGCGGATCGGATCAGGACGCAACAAGCGCACGTACGCGAAAACAAACGGCACTCCTATATTGAGACTTAAGATAATGCACCTCTAGCGCAACGGACAACCGCTGCGGAAACGTGTCCCCGGCTACGCGGCAGACCCGAACGACGGGTCTGGCCGCGGCAGGCGACGGCGAAAATAAGAAGCCCTTGGATGCGCTCGTGATGGCAAGCCGCGCGGCGGGCTCTGGGCGCGCGAGCGCACGCGCTGTCCCAACACCAATCGTGGCCAGGCCCGCCCTGCGCCCAGGCATCCATGTTCACGCTCTGCCTGCTGGGCCAGGGAGGCGCACATCCGCCGCCGTGAACGAATCCTGAGCCCTGGATGGGCGAGATCACGGTCGGGGCTGGCGTACAGTTGGCGCTCTCGGATGCACGGCCGAGCACAGCACATGCAAACGACTGCCACGCTGCGTCGTGCTGCACGGGCCGCCACCGCGCTTGCGTACTCATGATGCCAGTGCCCGCTGAACTCCACTACTCTGGGAACACACTGGGAGACAACCCTCGCAAAGCAACTCCTAGGAAGACAAACGTCAATCCAAGCGTCCCGGTTATGTGACTGAGAGGGCCAATGTTCAGATCGACTAGCGCTGCCGTAGTGAGCTGTGACGCAAGGCTGAGCGTGAAAGTCGCAGCATACGAGATCCACTTCGGCAGAATATGAAAACTCCGCGAGTAGAACAGGCCTTGGCATCCCACGAACATCCAGATGGAGGTCTTCAAAACGGACGTGGAAACCCGTCGCAAAATACCACGAAGCTACTTCGCCGGGAAAACAGAACTCGCACTTGCAAAACGTGACACGAAGGCAACGGTGGTCGCATCGTCTCCGTGCCTGGGCACGCAAAAGCGTGCGCTCAAGACAAAGCCCGTGCCACTTGCCACTGCTGCAATCGAACCCATGGCAATCGAGCTCAGGTTTCCAGGACTTGAAGCGGGCTGGCCTGACCAGCCAACGAAGACAATCCCTGAAAGTACCACGAGCATTGCAGTAGCAGCCATTTTGCTGGGATGCTGCCCCTCCAGGAAGAGGTCGACGGCAACGGCGCTGAACAACACTCCGAACTGAAGCATCAATTGCACCAGACATTGCCCAATCATCCGAGACGCAACCACGAGGGTGGCTGAGGGCAGCAAACACGCGGCTGCCAACCAAGGCCCAGAATGTTGGGGCATTCCGTCTGGAGACACGAAAGGCAAGAGGCATGCTGCTGATAAGGCGTCAGACAAGCAAACAACGCAATAGGCACTGATGAATGGATCTGCTCCAACGGCGCTGAGACGCGTGCTGAATAGCAGGCGTACCGTCACAGAAGCGCCCACTGCCAAAGCCCACAAGATGCACATTGCGTACCCAACACGCGTTGGCTCGATGCCCTGGCTGGACTCCTTCACCGTCTGATTCCCCGCTGCGCTGTCAACCTGAATGCTCGCCAGCTTTTTCACATCGTACTGTGCTGCTTTGAACGGCGTCTGTTAGTTCGTCATGATGTGGCGCAGGGGCACAGATTGGCCCAGCGTTTGAAAGCACATGCTTTGAACAACTTGAGCCAAAATGGCTTGGAAACCTCTTGGGACGTTCTGGCTCGATCTTTGAGGGTATGACGGCTTCCTTGGCGTCGTCGACCGTCTTGTGGCTCCCGTGGGTCGTTTCGGGAGCGCGAAGGGGCGTCGGGGGCCCTCTGGGGCAGTCTTCGGGCTCTTACGCAGACTCGGATTCGACCTTGCCGTCCCTGGGTGGTTGGGAACTGCGCATTTGTTGCCATTTTCGAGGGCTGCTGGGGGGTCCAGCGCAGTGACGCCTTACGCAGACTTAGGTTCGACCTCGCCACCCCTGGGGGGCTGCGAACTATGGAGTTCTCGCCACTGCTAAACAACTTGCTGGAGGGTCAACGGGGTGACGCGGTACGGGGATTCAACTTAAACCTCGCCATCCCATGGGGGCTGCGAATTGCGACGCTGTCGCCATTTGCTAGCGCTGCTGGGTTCCAACGGGGTAACGTCCAACGCAAATCCATAATAGATCGTGCCATTCCTGTGGGCTGCGAGCTGCGAAACCGTCGCCGCTTTCGAGGTCAGCCGGGAGGGTTCAACGGAATGACGTCATACACAATTAAGACTAGGCCTTGCCATCCGTGGGTGGTGATGCGGGAAACTTCGAACTGGGCAAATGGTGTAACTTTCGAGGGCTGCTGGGGACCACAACCAAAACCATATCGCCCGTGAAAGGTGTCAGCCGACACGGAGTGCACAGCTTCTCCCGCGAT